AATTGCGGACTGTCTGTATTGACACGTGATTAGTCCTAGGAAGGCAAAAAACTAAGGTTGTAATTTTGATTGGAAAGACTTCCCTGGGGGAGGACTTTTGAGCTGAGATCAGAGGGATGATTAGACCTTAATCAGGCAAATTGGGGATGGGGACAGTCTAGGCAGAGGAAAGAGCTTGTGCGAAGACTCTGTGGTGGGAAGAGAAATCTATAATAAGTGAAAAGACCAACAAGCAGGAGGGCCGCGCAGGAGGCAGAATATGGTGTCAGAAGAGGCTGGAGAGGTGGATGGGGCTGGGTGGGGCATGGCCAGGAAGGCCACGTTAGTCTTTCTGGGTTCTTCCTTGCTTTCTTACTCACTCCCTCTTCCACCAGGTTCTCTCGTTAAGCCTTCTCCCACCCCATTTTGCCTCTCCATGCACAAGTCCTCATTGTTTCACAGGTAAACAATCGAAATAGCCCCTCGCCACCTTCAAATCCGTATTCTGCCCTACTATCTTAAGCAGTATTTCTAACATGTCAATCTGCTTAAGTTGGTCCTCAGGATAGAATCCTCCCCTGGTTGCCCCATTGTCGGGATAAAGCCCTGCTCAGCTTCCTCTCCTGTTAGTCTTCCTCACATCCACCCCCACTGCTCCACCTCTTCAACTTGGTTAGACTTCTTGCAGCTTGCAGAGGTGATGACTGCATGTGCTTTGGGCCCCCTTTGTCTGCTGAAGTCCTGCTCATGTCAGGGGCTCCTACTCTGGGAAGCCGTACCCCACTCGCTCAAGCCAGTTTCCTGGCCCCTCTTTGATGTCCCTCTTTGCCTGGCACGGACTCACTGTATTCAACCCACCTCCCTCTGGCTTGTTTACATGCAGATTGCTGCTAGACTGCGACCTCCTCCATGGAGGGGTCTGGGGCTTGTTCATTTTTGTCCTTCTTGTGGCAGAGGGTGGGGCACATATTAGGTGACTAATAAATATTTCTTGAATTGAAGACCTGGTGATGGAAGAATGACATGGTACAAATACCTGGTTAAAAATGGAGCTCCAACCAGAAGGTTCTTCGTGAAGAAGTCTGGCTTCTGGGACCTCCATGTATTGTCGGTCCTGATTCTGTTAATAACTGAACAAAGGTCTCAAGGCTGCCTGTCCTGCCCCTGCCTGCCACGGTCATCCATCAAGAAGGGCATGTGGACATAGGGTGGGTGGAGTCAAGCCTAAATAGACCCAGCCTTCTAGCCCAGTGTTCTCAAACTTTAGTGTGCATCAGAATCACCTAGAGGGCTTTTAAAAATCTAGATCACTGGGCCCCACCCCCAGAGTTTCTGATTCAGTCGGTCTGGGGTGGAGCCCAAGAGTTTGCATCTCTAACAGATTGCAATGGTGCTGGTCTGGGGACCACTGTTTGTGAATCTCTGTTCTAGCAAAAAGATTTGCTCTAAACATTATTACTTTCTACCATGTTGGGGAAGGAGATAGAGAGAGCTTTTTGCTTAGGTTTGCTTTTGTAGATTTTTAAGAACAATTGGTCTGAGCTTAATGCGAGTAGAAGTATTAGATTCTACAAGCTTGCCTCTTCCCTCATCTCCTGGCCTTCCAAAAAAGTGGTTCTGTATTCATTCATGAGCCACTCAACAAATATGTTTTGAAGGTGTAGTATGTATATGTCAACATATAAGGTGGAGTTGTTGATATCAAGATGAAATTGATATGAAACTGTCCTTAAGAGAGGTCCTTCAGTGCAGACATAGCCGTAATTCAGGGAGTCTAAAGGAGAAACGCCTGCTCTGAATGGTAGTGAGTTCCCTATCAATGGAGTTGTCCAGAACAGGCCTTCTAGAGTTAGTGGGAATAAAACACTTCTCTAGATAGACCGAATGACCATTAAGATCCTGAAATTGTGTGATTAAGCAACAGTGATGATTGACATAACAAAAAGGCACAAGTGAAATGCTGCGAGTTTATACTGGGGATCTGCAGAGGCGGCTGAGGCCTCTTTGTGTAAATACTGATATCATTATCATTACTTTTAGTAAACATTTATTCCTTACTAACAGTATGCTTGGCAACTAAATGGATTTATATGCAATGACCCCATAATTTGCTGTGTATTAACTTCAGATTATCCAAAAAGCTAAATAGAAAAAGCCACGAGCAGATCCAGAGTGCACCTCAGGGGCCTCTTTGGGTCCGGCTTCCTGAGTCACATGGAATTGAGATGCATAGTACTCTTTTATTTTATTTTAATTTTATTTTTTTACAATATTTATGAGAGAGAGGAAGAGAGAATATATGTATGTAAGTAGCCAATGATAGGCCTATTTATTTTAATTTTTTATTTTTTTAGATTCAGGTTTGTTACATGCATATATTACATAATGCTAAGGTTTGGGCTTCTATTAAACCTGTCACCCAAATAGTGAACATAGTACCCAACAGGTAGTTTTTCCAGCCTTGTCCCCTTCCTTCCCTTCCCTCTTCTGGAGTCCCCAGTGTCTGTCATTTCCATCTTCATGTCTGTGTGTACCCAGTGTTTAGTATATTCCATGGAATATTACACAGCCATAAAAAAGAACAAAATCATGTCCTTTGCCATATGGATGCAGCCGGAGACCATTATCCTAAGTGAATTAATGCAGAAATAGAAAATCAAATACCGTGTGTTCTCACTTATAAGTGGGAGCTAAACATTGGGCCTTGAATTCATAGTCACTAGGTCACCAACTTGAATTTCAGACTCTCCTCTTGTCTTATCAAGGAAGTCCAACCAATTGCCAGACTTTATAATATGAGGCAAGGGTCAAAGTCCCTCTTTTCAGGAAGGTCCAGTACTTAAGATGCAGCAAAAAATGCTGACAGCCCTTGCCCCTCATTTATCATTTACTGAGCATCTATTATGTGCTGGGTATTGAGAGAACTGCTTTACAAATGCTATTTATAATCCCTTTACCCATCCTTCAAGGTAAGTAGTGTTATCCTCATTTTCAGATAAAAGAAAAGGCACAGAGCTACAGTTTGTCCAATTTCATGCAGCAAAACTCAATTCATTTTTAGAAATCAACGTGACCATAAAATTGAAACCTAATAAAAGATAGTCCCAAAATTATAGATTGAGCTCAAGTCTTAGCACAGATTCAAGATGCAATATTAGAAAGCAGAATGCAGCAGTATATCAAATAAATAATATACTCTGACCAAATGGAGTGCATTCTAGGAATTCATGAATGGTTCAATAATAAGAAATATTAGGAAATCAACGTAATTTACCTTATCAACAAACTAAAGGAGAGTCATATTATAGTAGATGCTGAAAGGGTAGTTGCTAGAATTCTCCTGTAATAAAACTCTATAACAGGAATAAGAGGAACTACTTAAATGTGGTAAAGACTAAAAATGAGCCAGATACATCATTCTAAACAGTGAAACACTAGATCTGCCTTCGTTAACATTGGAAATGCTTGCTTTTGCCATTTTAAAATATTGTTTTGGTGGTTCTTACAAATGATCTAAGCTATGATCAAACAGTTTCTGTAAATATGGGGAAGAAGAGATGACATTATCTTGGCCAATGTTTGTCTACTGAAAAACTCCAAGAGAATCTGGTAGGAAGAGAAACTCTATCAGAAGTAATAAGAAGTAATAATATCAGAAGTAACTCCATCAGAAGTAATAATTATCAGAATAATATCATTGGATAAGATGACTGGATAACAGCACTTCTCTATACTCTCAGGACCACACAGCCAGTGAACCTCAGCAGCTGGAACTGGGATTTGAACCCAGGCCTGCTGCTGAAGTTGTGCTCTTCCCACCTTGTGATGCATTTATGCTTCCTTGTATGACTCGGTCATGTCAGCCCAAGGGAGAAGTCTTTTAGAATTTGTAACTTTCAAGCACTCCAGCAGAGCAGGTTGGTTTGCTGTGATGGGGACCCAGGCTGGGGGGCAAGCATAGAAGGTTGGCATGGATGTTTCACTGGGAAGACTCTTCGAGGTTTCTGCTACCAGCAATGCCGTCCCCCTAGGGGCGGCGATAATGAACTGTACGTGGGGAGGTTGAGGGTGGTAGTCTGACCTTGAGCCATTTGGCCAGACTTCTGCTTCCCAGGAACTGAGCATCTAACCAACAGAACTGCTGCCCTTTCTTCTTGGCTCCAAGAAGGCACATTTCGATTGCTCGCTGCCCTTGGCTCAAACTGCCCCATTTGAGAGGTAGTACTTGTGAGAGCACCTTTTACAGATTTGGCTGCCCTGAGGCATCAGGGGCACAAGCTCTTGGTGACTACACTCACCAAGGATGCTTTAACTCCATGGCGTTCATGGTGGAAGTGAAGCATGTGTTTCTGGCACGAAATCACTGCGTGAGACATCAGAAGTATTATCCAGATAAAACTTTTCTATTTCTTGCAGAGGCCAACCATGGGGTGGTGGAAGGGACAGTGCACAGGAACCCAGGAGACATGGATTCTGGTGGCTCTGCCACACTAGCTGTGTGTTCCTGGGCAAGTCACTTGGCGTTGCTGGGTCTCACTTGCCTCATCTGTGTCATGGGATGTTGGATTGGGGTAGATTCCCAGTGCCTTTTGAATTCAGCGTCATAACAATTACCCTTACAACATGCCTGACATTGTTTTAAGTACTTTGCATAGAGATAAACTTATCACAATAACCCTGTGAGGTAAGTACTGTTAGTATTCTCATTTTATCTCTGAAGAAACTGAGGCACAGAGAGGTCAAGTGACTTGCCCTGGGTCTCACAGCTAGAAACAGTGGAGTGCTCACACAGCTCTTAACCTCATGTTTTACTTTTACAGTTTTTCTTTCCATGAGCTGAGTTGTTATAAGGGTGTTGGTTCTGTTGGGTGGGGGAAAGGGGTGTTAGGATGGAAGACAGTTTTAAGGGAAGCCTGGCTCTGGGGTGGATGGATGGGGTCACTGTCTGGGAGAATGATAGCGGTGGCTGTACAGGTTGCTAATATTTGCATCTCTCCCTTTTTTCCTCTTTTCCTCTCTAGTCTGTGGCAAGCGCTACAAGAACCGACCTGGGCTCAGCTACCACTATGCTCACACTCACCTGGCCAGCGAGGAGGGGGATGAAGCTCAAGACCAGGAGACTCGGTCCCCACCCAACCACAGAAATGAAAACCACAGGCGTGAGTGCCTACTTGTTAGGTTGGGGCAGTGAAGAAGTGGGTTAGGCAGGCTGGGGAGCGTTCCTTGTTCCTTTTTCTCACTGCTGCGCTGGCATCTTCTGGTAGCAACCTTTGAGTGGTCTCAATGTGCTGTAGTGCGTTGGCCCTTTCAGCCAGCCAGTCAGCTGCCCCTGCAGCTCAGCCCAACAATAGCAGGGCTGGGCTCACGCACCCTGCTCTGCTCCCAGAGGAAGGAAGGTGTTAAGCAGAAGAGAAAGTCCTTACCTGGCCACTGCCAGATGCCAGACCTACAACTCTTTTCCCTCAGCTCCTCAAGAGCCACTCAGACTGGGTTGGGCATAGGTCATGGGTGTGTCAGTTCAGACAGACATTCGAAATGCCTGCTTGGCCACTAACAGCCTTAGAGTATTCTTATCTATTGGTGTGGTTTTGTTGTAGAGGGGAGGGGATCACATTTTGGTACAGGGCTCTCCTGCCTTAGAAATGCTGCCTGGAGACCCCATGTTCTTTGCTTCAGCATTCAAATGGCAAATGTGATCTGGATGGATTTGTTGTTTGGAATATTGGGCTCTCAAGACCCAAAGTGATCCTGAAGATTTGTGTTTCCATTTCTGTGCTTTCCTACCTCAACTTCCAATTATGAATTAGGGAATCCAAAAGGGCTTAGCATTTTCCACTTGACTTTCCTCTAGAATATCCCGTGTGGTCTCTGGGCCTGCAGAAATCTCAACATAGAAATGGGATAATGGAATCTTTAGAGCCTGCTCGAAGATGCGGGCCACACTGAGCTCTCTCAGTGAAGAATGTTCATGGACAGGCCATGTGTTTTTCATTTTGTTCAGAAGATTTGGTGGTAGGGATTCTGAAAGTGAACAACTCAGTGCAAGGAAAGGGATCAGACCTTTAAAAGTACTCAGACTCTAGGATTAGAGGATGCGTGTTAGCCATCGACTTAGTCAACTGACGTCCACTGGCCACTTCCACCAGATATTTGAAATAATGAACACACCTGTGGCCAAGGTCATTCTTTGGATTAGTGTGGGGTCTCCCTTAACCTCCACCCCACTTTCCCCTTGTAACATTGCCTTCTTTATGGATTTGCTAGGGTTCTTATAAGAAAACCCCAGAGATGGAGTGGCTTAAACCACAGAAATTAATTTTCTCACAGTTCTGGAGGCTGGAGGTCTAAGGTCACAGTGCTGGCAGGGTTGTTTTCCTCTCCTTGGCTTGCAGATGCTACCTTCTCCTGTCCCCTCACACAGTTGTCCCTCTGTGCATGCGTGCTCTGGCGTCTGCTTTTATGTCCACATTTCCTCATTTTTTTTTTTTTTTTTTTTTTGAGATGGAGTCTTTCTCTGTCGCCAGGCTGGAGTGCAGTGGTGTGATCTTGGCCCACTGCAATCTCTGCCTTCCAGGTTCAAGCAATTCTCCTGCCTCAGCCTCTCGAGTAGTTGGGACTATAGGCACGCACCATTACCCCTAGCTAATTTTTGTATTTTTAATAGAGACAGGGTTTCACCATGTTGGCCAGGATGGTCTCAATCTGGACCTCGTGATCCACCCGCCTCAGCCTCCCAAAGGGTTGGGATTATAGGCGTGAGCCACCGTGCCCGACCCACGTCAGATTGGATATTAGGGTCTATCCTAACAAGCCCATTTTAACTTTATCTCTTTAAATGCCTCTTTAAGGACCCTACCTCCAAACCAAGTCACAGTCTGAGGTACCATGTTACGCTTTCAACATAGGAATTTGGGAGTGGGGAGGGGACGCAATGCAGCCTTCAGCACCTTCTTGAATTTTTGCTCACTTCCAAGGTGCAAACCTTTAGTGCGACAGACCCTTGCTTTCTCACCTGCTGTGGTCACCTGGACAGAACCTGAACAGCAGAGCAGGAGGCACCCCCCGAGTCTTGCCCGCCTCTCCTTGCCAGGGACTGAGGAGCTCCAACACTAAGACCTTCTCTCTGGGAAGAGTTTTCCTTGGTCCAGTCACCCTTGTCTTTCAAAAAGGAAAAGATACGGACCTGTACTGAGGCAGCCGATACTTGCATTTCCTTGTCTCTCCTCTTTTCCCTGGTCTAAGTGAGGTCACACAGAACTGTTGTCTCCTACCACGAGGAGGCTGAGAAGAATCTCCTTTGATTTTGGTTGCTCCCTGAAAAGCGTTTCTTCGCCATTGTTGTGCTCTCTCAAGTGTTTATTAGCTTGGTGGCCTTATTTCTCACTCTCCTGTGCTAGCTTATCTCCTTATATCTCTTCTCAAATGTCAGGCCATTTTGTTCCTTTATTCATGCCCTGGGGTTTGGAATGCTTCTTGTCTGTGTCTCATTTTCCTTGGTTCTCCTGTAGCCTCATTATGAGTGCTTTGTGTGTGTGTCTATGCATGTGTGTGCGTGCGTGTGCATGTGTGTTGTGTGTGCACGTGCATGTGTGCGTGTATGTGCATGTGTGTCCATGTGTGCGCGTGTGTGCGTGTGTGCGTGTTGTGTGCGTGTGTGCGTGCTGTGTGCTTGTGTGTGTGCATGTGTGTTCACGTGTTCTTTGTGCACGTGTGTGCTTGTGTGTGTGCGCGTTTGTGCGTACATGTGCGTGCATGTGTGCATGTTGTGTGTGTGTTTGCGTGTGTGTGCGTGTGCATGTGTGTATGTGCGTGTGCGTGTGTCCATGTGCCTGGTGTTTGTGGCTGCACGGGGAGGTGTGCTGCAGACCCTAAGTAGAAGCAGTCAGTCTCCCCAGCAATCCCTGTGATCCACTCAGAGTTGGCTGACTTCTGAGACCAGCACTCAGCTGTGGATCTCCTCACGCTCCTTCGTGGGCGGGGGTGTTTGGCCTTCTCGTGTCCTCCCCTTGAGGCCACACAGCCTTGCTTGGGAAGGAAGCTGTGCGTGTCTCCCTAGCCCTACGTGGAGATGTCTGCCTGCGAAATCTCATGGTGGCTTGTTCTCACCTCTGTGGGCTTTTCAGTGAGCGGCACGCACTCCAACTCCCCCTCCCCCTTTTCTCTTTCTCACCCTGTTCATGAGAAAGTGGGTTCTTCAAAAAGGATCATTTGGCTGGCCAAGGGTTTAAAACCTCCTAGAAAATAATAGGTGTTCCCAGGCGGATCTGGGGCCTCCCCACATGAAGAAGTTTCCAGAACCCTCACAAATACCTTTTTAATGACATCTCACAGCGCCCTCCTCGAAAACTCAGTGATTAACCCAGTTTTGCTAGTGGGGAGGGTACAGCAGAAAGGCCTTTAGTGCCTGGAGAAACCGTCCTTTCCCCCGTCCCTAATTTCTCTGGACAAACCGATGAGGCAGCTGCTCGTCCCAGGTTCTCTGCACCACACGGGCCGCTGACTTGCTTGCCGCCCCGAATGTGTGCTCTGCTCCCTCCCACATTCCCCTGGTGAGCAGCCCCCGACTATTTTCTTGTGAGCACTAATTGCCAGCATCATTAATACCCAGTCATTAGCTGCTGCCACTGTTTGGGGGTAGGGGGTGGCTTCCATCCATCCTGCCCCTAAATGCCACTGGGGCTGTGTGCTGAATTGGATGTGACAGCTCGGCAGCATCCTAAGGTCTCAGCTTCGTGATCCTCCCTTGGTGAGGCTTTTGGAGGGGAGGGGCAGGTAGGAGAGCTTAATCCAAGAGGCTAATCTGCGGCTCCCCCAGGAGAAGGTCTGGACACCAGTGAAGTGGAAATGCTGACTTTTTCCCCCTTTAGCAGAGCTGCAGGGTGACCCAAGCTGCATGTGAGCAGAGGCGTAATGGAAAAACAGCCTTACAGACACAGGGGTTTGCAGGGCCAAGGGCAGCTGGGCTCGCACCACCTGCAGCAGTAGCGACCTTTTGACTTTGGTCCTCCTGCTGTCGCTTGCTCTATCGCCCCCCAACTGTGTCTTCAGCAGAGCCCATGGCTCATCCCGCGCCTGCTGCTGCTGCTGAAAGAGCAGAGTGGCCTGCTGGAGCTGGCCCTGACCTTCCCTGCCCCAGCCCTTGCTGCCAGGGCTGCAAGCTCAGCAATCCACTGCCGCTCCTGATCGCCTGGCCCCCAAGCTGATGCTCGCGCGCCTTTGTTTCTCCCTTAGTCTCTCATTTTCTCCTGAGTATACATTTCTTGTGTTTCCTGTACATTCGTCCCCTTTCCTGTGTGCCCTTGCCTCTCTGCCTCAACTACAGGAAGCCAGGGTGGCTTGGAGCTCAATCACTCCCCTTTGGGAAATAGTGCTTTTCTGATGGGGTTCTCTGCATGTGGGCTGCATCCCACCCTCTCCCTCCTTGTGGCTGGATGCCTCTTCTCCCTCCATTTGTTTTAGCACCTTCATCTACTTTTGCAAATGAAATAAATGACTGTATGTGTGCACATGCGTATGTACACACACACACACCGCTACACACAGATGTACACATACATGAATAAAAGGAGTGCAGCCGGGGAGGATAGGACTCTGAAAGATGCACTCAGAAGCATACCATTGTGACTCCTTAAATGCAGCCCTGGTAGGGAGCCCCAGCGGGGTAGAGTAGCAGAAAGAACTCTGGACTAGAATTCAAAACCCCCTTAACATAGGCTCGTGATGTTAAATTCTGAACTTTTTGCCTTCTTTGCACAGTGAGAAATGATTATCAATGATGTTTTCGAGTTAATTTTTGGAGTGAGGATAGACATTTATGAAGTCCTGGGCCTGGATGAAAAGCTGTATAAATAAATTCAGTCTAATCCATCCATGCATCCATCCATCCGTGCATACGTCATCCATCCATCCACCCATCCATCCACCCATCCATCCCATCCGTCCATCCATCCATCCGTCCACCCATCCATGTAATAACCACATATTGAATATTGTCTATATGCTGGGACTAGGGAGGACAGGCATAAAGAGGACTCAGCCCTGTCTTTGAGCTCACAGTCTTGAGTGGGAGTGTGCAATGGGGTGTGTACAGAACTATGACGGAGTTCAGGACTCAAGGGCACAGGGTACTTTCTATGCCTTAGGGCAGTGGTGTTCCAAG